TACAACAATAAGCTTCATAGAGCATAAATGTGCAAATTTCCAATTAATCTCAGATGTGCATTTTGGGCACATAAACCATGAATATACTTTTATTCTTTTACAATGGTGGCTTAAAAATAGCAAATTACTACAATTGTCAAATACCATTGTTAAACGAATAAACAGTGGTGCCACGATCACATGCAGGCAATGGACATAATAACGGATTCTAGGCTAGCCCTCCGTTGAAATAATTTATTTTATCGAGCTTTTCAGTTAAATTGTTTTTAGAAATAAACTGTAAAAGAAGCAAAATTAAATCAAACTTTAAACTTTACTTCTGGCGTGTGCCAAAAAAATTAGAGCAATCAAAAAGGGATTAAGTCATAAAAATGCTCCCTGCTGCTAACATTATGCGCAAATATTATGCCTGTCTCTTATACACATCTAGATGTGTATAAGAGACAGAGATAATAATAATACAGATAATACAGATAATAATAATAATAATAATACAGATAATAATAATAATAATAATAATAATAATAATAATAATAATACAGATAATAATAATAAAAAGTAAATGATAATAATAATAATATTATATCAATAATTGATTAGGTCTAGCTTAGCCTATATTAACGTTAACATTATATTATATTTGTTTAACAATTAGTTTTAATTAAATTATTAAATGTATACAATATATATTATTTAGGCCTAGGCATATACATAAAACAAAAAATAAACAAACAATGATAATACTAATAATAATATTAATAATAATAATAACAATAATAATAATAAAAATAATAATAATTTTAAGATAGCTGTCTCTTATACACATCTTATATATATATATATATATTAATTTCAACACTATCTTTGTATCTTGTTTTTCTTCTTTTATATATTAATATTAATGTTAAGTCTAGTTTTTTTATTGAAAGTAAATTATGTTTCAGATGAAAGTGATGACTCAATCTTAATGCCTTCATCACCAATGCTAGGGAATGATTACTCTCCTATTGACCAAATGGCATCTCCGCTGGAAGATAATGTACATCCCTCCATCATCCCTCCATCGCCAGCAGTTGGACAACTCATTGACATTTGAGGTGCCATCAAATGACATCTTCATGAGTGAAAGCTAACTGTTCTATTATCTAAAAGAACAAGTGGTTGGAGAGCACATAGCTACATGAGATGCTACCAGATGATGTCCCCAGTGGCAGAAAGAGGCTGCATTTCCATCATTCAGATGACCTCACCAGTGCTTTGACATCCCTGATGGTGGGAAATGACCATTTTCATATTTTTCTGATGACATTTAAAATGCCACCAGCAGACATCACTAACAGACCATTGTTCCATCAAGATGACTACACTAGTTGGTCAGCCCACGGGTATAAGAGGTCAACTGATGATATGCCTGCCACCTGGTGCAATTTGGCAAGTAGAAGTGGAAAAGCAGCCACTAAATATCTGAAATATGTGTGGTGCAACTTCCTTCATGGTGAAATAGAAGCATGTCCACTATTGATTGTATGGAGGACAAGAACAAACATTCAAAAAAAAATAAATGCTTTGATAAGTACAAACTTTTACAAAGCAAATACCATATTGCAGTAGCCACTCGCCCATAGTTGAACATCCAGCCTTACTTTAGTTTTTGCATAAAAAATGCAGAATGGATTCTCTTTTCTTTTTTTTTTTTTTACTCTAGATGAAGTCAAATCAGCTGATTACTAGCTGCAACATTATTTAATACTACCAAAGCAACTGAGTGTTTTTCACTAGACTTTTGTTCCAATAAATTGAAATAATATGAAGTACTCAGAGGGCTTGGCAATATCAGCTGCTGTATATACAACCGATATATAGTAAATTAAATTTAATTTGTTGTAAAGAATGCATTTTCTGGTTGCTTGCCAGCCAATTATTACTGTGAATAAAGCACAGGCGTTTATGTATTTTAACTTTGGTAGTGGCTATCGGCACTGCCGCAGTGCCAAAAAAAAGCTGCTGTTTTCTATCGGCACGGCCGCAGTGCCAAAAAGCTGCCGTTTTCTATCGGCACTGCCGCAGTGCCAAAGAGTTGCTGTTTTCTATCGGCACTGCCACAGTGCGAAAAGCTGCTGTTAATTAATCGAATCGATGTTTTTATCGATAGATGACATTTGTATAATTCATAGTTCATAATTTTATTTCACTCAAAAAGTAATGAGACTGGTTAGGCAAAAGGAACATGTCCCTGTACAAGACGCCTTCCAGAGAAACAATGGTAATGTTAATGGTAAAGACATAATAATAATAATAATAATAATAATAATAATAATAATAATACAGATAATAATAATAATAATAATAATAATAATAATAATAATAATACAGATAATAATAATAAAAAGTAAATGATAATAATAATAATATTATATCAATAATTGATTAGGTCTAGCTTAGCCTATATTAACGTTAACATTATATTATATTTGTTTAACAATTAGTTTTAATTAAATTATTAAATGTATACAATATATATTATTTAGGCTTAGGCATATACATAAAACAAAAAATAAACAAACAATGATAATACTAATAATAATATTAATAATAA